CATCATAGGTATACCTCAACTATGAGAGACAGAATGGGGAAAAAAATCCAGAAAATCACGTTGTCTGATTTTTAAAGAATTTATTTCCAAATCATGGTGGAAAATAAGTGTTTGGTCACCTACAAACAAACAAGATGTCTGGCTCTCACAGACCTGTAACTACTTCTTTAAGAGGCTCCTCTGTCCTCCACTCGTAAAACAGCCCCAAAGCATGATGTTTCCACCCCCATGCTTCACAGTAGGTATGGTGTTCTTTGGATGCAACTCAGCATTCTCTCTCCTCCAAACACAACAAGTTGAGTTTAGACCAAGTAGGTATGGTGTTCTTTGGATGCAACTCAGCATTCTCTCTCCTCCAAACACAACAAGTTGAGTTTAGACCAAGTAGGTATGGTGTTCTTTGGATGCAACTCAGCATTCTCTCTCCTCCAAACACAACAAGTTGAGTTTAGACCAAGTAGGTATGGTGTTCTTTGGATGCAACTCAGCATTCTCTCTCCTCCAAACACAACAAGTTGAGTTTAGACCACGAGTGGAGGACAGAGGAGCCTCTTAAAGAAGTAGTTACAGGTCTGTGAGAGCCAGACATCTTGTTTGTTTGTAGGTGACCAAACACTTATTTTCCACCATGATTTGGAAATAAATTCTTTAAAAATCAGACAACGTGATTTTCTGGATTTTTTTCCCCATTCTGTCTCTCATAGTTGAGGTATACCTATGATGAAAATTACAGGCCTCTCTCATCTTTTTAAGTGGGAGAACTTGCACAATTGGTGGCTGACTAAATACTTTTTTGCCCCACTGTAAGTGCCAAAATCGTTACAGTTCCCTTTCTTTCTCTGCACCTTTAAAATGCATGTGCGTGACTATCTGTGACTAATGGTTTTCTTAAGCAGTGACACAGTCTTTTACACAAGGTCTTTGAAAAGTGACCTTTACAGATTTAAAAGCACCTTCTCTTTGCTTTATAAAATGGATTTTTAATTGGGAAACCTCAACCCATTTCTCTGATCTTCCATACCACAAAAAGCCTCTGAAGATTAATAATGGGGAAAAAAAACAACTACAAATAAGTTCAGTGTTGTTGATATGATGTAATGGTTTATTGGTTCAATCTCCATTTGATTACAGAGAGCTCACAAGTTTGGGGTCAGTCTACCCTTACAGGGTGGTTGTTACGGGGATAAAATGAGGGGGGACCCCCACCTTGAAGTCTCAGAGAAAAAGTGGGATAGAAATCAGTCAAGTGTCTGTAGCCCATGCATTCTGTTCTCTTTCCATCCATGCATAATATGCAGAAAACAAGGCTGAATTGCTCATTTATTGATTTAGCTGAAGGTGGTATACATAGCATGCCCTCATCTTATTTTTTTCCACAACAACAACCTTGTAAGGTAGGCAGGGCTGAAAGTGAAAAACCAATGCAAAGTCACTCAGAGAGCATCTGTGGATGAAGGTGGATTACAACTTGGGTCTCCCCACTCCAAATCCAACACCCCCGGTCTCAATTATTTTCTACGATTGTTGGTAAATCCCTGGAGCTGTATACATTCCCCTAGAAACCTTGAAAATATAACCCTCTTCAAAAGTTGCTGCTGAAATGTGGTTTTGAATGAAATGAAAAGGGGAAAATATTTAATGCATGGGATGTATTAAACTGTATATAACCTATTTGATTCAATTTAGACCAGTGTTTTTCAAACTTGGCAACTTTAAGATGTGTGAACTTCAATTCCCAGAATTCCCCAGCCAGCATGGGAGTTGAAGTCCCCACATCTTAAAATTGCCAAGTTTGAAAAACACTAATTTAGACTTATATTTAAATTAAATCAAATTTCAATTTTTGTTTTTCCTGGTCTCACTTCTTTGTCTTGGCACCACTCCTTTTTGGTGTGTGGCTCTAGCCATTCATAAATCCAGTGTGGACTGTAGGCCAAAAAAGGTTGTATTCCCCTGTTATAATATGGTTTACATTCCCTACCGCTCTGTTAGGAACAGAAAAATGGGGAAGGGACGGAGAAGGAGCAGAATCCCCTGTCTTTTGCTGTAAGGTGGGCAAATGCTTTATGCCATTACAAATCAGCTTAGTCCAGCTAAGACTTCCTGACCCAGAAAAGACACTAACTCAAAGGTTGTCAAGGAGGCAACTGATGATGGATTCCTCACCCACCCCGCCTAGGTTGGCAGTCTTTTCTTTTTCTTGGGATCTGTGGCCTTAATCAGCTAATGCACATGAATTTAAACATTCTCAAGTGCTGTATAAATGCTACATGCTATTATGTTTGAGAGCAGCATTGCTTGTATGGAACTGAGATTCTCTTGCATGTGTCTGTATCTGTTTTGCAGTGTATTACGTAAAGAGGGCACAGCATCACCGCTGGCGGTGCAGCGAAGTGACTTTCTGGTGCACTGATGAACATCTCTGTAATCGATGGATATGTATGCTGAAAGAACTACTTGATTTACAGAGTATGTTGCAGATGAAGGATGCCATGTCTTTGGGTTTTTTAGCGGGGCTATCCAATTTTTGAGAAGGGGGGAAAAAATCAAGCCAATCACAATGGGGACTTTTTACACTGCCTACATTTTGAATAAGGTGGGAAATTGCACGAGTGCAAGCAAATCCTTTTATTTCAAGCAGCAAAAGTGCCTTGCCTAGCCGAGGTGTTTTTAGTTGGAATATGTGAAGACGCACGATCAATTCTCCAGCTCTTGATATGGGGAGAACAATTCTTAACAAGGTTTTATCTATTTTCTAGGCAGACTAATGAGCTTAAATAACATTTCAGGGTTAGTAGAAATGTCTTTAGAATGAGAAAACCTTAATAATGGAACTCGTTATTGGCCAGCTCTCCCTCTGGAAATCTTTCTGTAATGACTGGGCAATCTGAGCTGAGATGGCCTTAGCTTTAGATTCCCTTCCCTGAGCAGAAAGAGAGATTGGAGGGTTTCTGGCTTCAGCTACTTCTAGTGTCGCTGAAGGATAAACAGTCTCATGGCCTGCTTTCTCTCTTTCATGTTGGCAGCCTCCAGACCAAAGTACTTGCTTGTATATATTAATCCTCATAGTGGAAAATCGCAAGGAGAGAGAATATATGAACAGAAAGTAGCTCCATTATTTAGTCTGGCTTCCATCTCTACTGATGTTATAGGTGAGTTATTCATTTGGATTTACTAGCTCCTCTAAATAACGGCTTTGAATTGTAGCATTATAGTTTCCCCCGTACAGCAGAGGTCTCCAACCCGGTGCCCTCCAGAAGCATTGATGAAATCCAGGAGTTGTAGTCCTAATGCACTTATGGTATGCTAAGTTGGAGAATGCTGCTTTTAGAAACATTCTGACAAGGGGTTTCCAGATGGTGTTTCTGGGGGTATTAAGCTCCAAAGTGCTTGTTTACATGAAGAGGTGTTTCGGCTTTCTCGCTCTTGAATTTGAAGGGCATATGCAGAGCTTGACACAATTAAGCCAATTGATTGGCTGCCTTGTTTAATTACACTTAACTGTGGCCCATAATTTTGGATCTGTCAGGAAAACCATTTGGCCTAGTGAAAGAGAGGTATCTACTTTCTAAATCAGTATTTCTCAACCTTGGCAGCCTGCAGATGTGTGGACTTCAACCCCATGCTGGCTGGGGAATTCTGGAAGTTGAAGTCCACACATCTTCAAGTTGCCAAGGTTGAGAAACACTGCTCTAAATGATCCTCATTTTGACCAACCATTCCAAAGTACCTTCTGGATAGAGACTGTTCATGTCTGTATTGGTTTTCAAAATATTTCTTTGAACAGTAGCTGCCACTTCCAGCCTGAAATTCTGCTCCCCTTTCCTTTCTTCCATTTGGAAATCGTTCCTGAAGTTTGTTCAGGAAAGTCATTTAGATGGACTTAATGTGCAAGCAAAGGCCTCTCAGTGCAGATAATCTCAGTGGATGCCTGTCCTTAATGAACTGGTACAATGCAGTGGTGGGCGGGTTTCTCAAATGCTGGCTTTATCCATTTCTGTAACGTCTGAATAAAGCTTTTGTTAAGACTTCCTTAGGAATAATCTTAAAATAGCATTGATACTGTTTGGCAGGAAAGGTTTGAGGCTGTGCATGTATATCAAGTGTCTTCATGCCAGCAACCACAGTGCAACCCAGTTAAACCACACTTAATACCAAGAAGACATTGAAGTAACAATTACACAGATCACTGGGCCCATCTTAGATTGTGCATTTTAGCGGCTATATTTGCACAAGCCTTTGAAGTACAGTACACGATTGTCCTACCACGTATGTAATCCCAATACGGTCCTCATCGCACTATTTCCATTTTCAGCAAGCAGCATTATGGAGAGTGCATAAAACGGACAGGAAATTGTAAGCCAAAGAAATTACAGGAATGAGATAAGAAAAAGGGAAAAAAACATAGCTAAAACTAATTTACTTCAACACTATTCGCAATACAGGTAAAACTGCAGATTACAAAACTACCAATGAGGAGAACTGAGTCTGTGAGGATGGAGGATGCTAGGTTTTGGAGCCTCTGGTCGTCCTGTCCTCCCATGAGCACATCCTCCCTCTTCCTCCCATAAATACTGAGATACACTCATCCTTGCTCAGTGATGGCTGGTTTTGCTGCCTCAGCCCAGCTGCAAAATTCTACTCGCTCCACTGGAGGCTCCTTGTTTAGCCATTCCAGCTCTTTCCAAAATGGTGTTTCAGTTCCATCAAAATCACTCTGCATTTTCTCTGAAGCTTAACCATTCCTTACTCTGATTGCATTTGTTGCAGCTATCTTTTTTATATACACATATTATGCAATATACTTGTCTCATCATTGTTTACAGTAATCTTTTATATACATTTTTTTCTCATTCACAGCTTTTTTCACTTCATCATTGCACCAGGGATCACGTTTCATACTTCATTAGCATACATTGGACAAGAAATACACTATGGTTTCTCACCTGATACAGTCCTGATGCAGGCTCAGTGACAGCCCTTAAAACAAAACACCAGGGGTGGCATGCCCAAAGATGTATTCTCCTTATCATTTTTCAAGCCAGACAGATATTTAAGCCAAATAATAGTTCCCAACAGCCCTATCCCTGGCGGGATTTAATGACCTTGCAAGCTGCTTTGGAAAGGAAATTACAGGAAGTCTGTAATGGTATGTGGGAATGGGAGACCTTGAGAGATAGGAGAGAGGTATTTTTAGACTTGCAAGATTGATGTCAGCCTTCAAGGTAGTCCAGAGAAGAAGCACAACTGGGAGTACCAGCTCTATCTTTATTGTAAGGTTACATTAACAGAATCTTGCAAGTCTGAAAGTACAGCTCTCCCCCCCTCACCTTTACAGTCCAAGAAACTAGGGAGGGTCCCTTCTGAGGCATTTGCCATGCTCCCATTGTTTCTGTGGGCTCAGCTGCCTCTTATCTGACCATTGCCTAGTCTGAGGCTTTTCCTTCTGTCTCCCGCATACTATTACAAAGTCCCATTCAAACCATTCAAATTAGGATCACTAATCTAGAGACTCCCTTGCATCCCAACATACTGTTGCACACATCCCACCAACTAGGAGGTATATGCAGTGTACTGATACACATTCAGGTTGCAGGACAGATCATTTTGAGGAACAATACTGCTAAGTAGGAATTTAGCAACTTCCTCTCTTGCTGAGTCACTTTTCATTAAACATTTCATTAATTTAGAAATGCTTCTAAATGATTAAGCAAAAGCACCTGCCAAAATGATTTGCTAAAGTACTTCTCCCAAATTATCTATCTATGTAAAATAACTAATTTTTCTGGGCTCCTGCTTGTTTAAGGTTCTGCTTATTACTGGCTAAAAGAAAGCTGCATTTTTCATTCTGGAGGTTTTGTTTTATTCTTTTAAGGAAGTTGATTACTATTTAGTAACTGATTTTTTTAGTGTTTTCTCTTACACAGCTGCTTAATATTAGCTTTCTTGTATTTCTGCAATGGCCCATTTTCCCCTCTGAAACAATAGGTTTGCTTCCAGAAATTACAATTGCTAAGTTAACTACTGCAGTGCAAATTCTTTCATACAGCTCAGTTATCTGACATGTCAGTATTGGGTCAACAGGGTTTACACAGGCATTGTCTACTGGCTGGGCTGAGGGAATGTGACTAGAATAAGTCAACCTGTGAGTTTCCAGGATGAGGATGGGTTTGAACCCCATTCTAATCCAAATCTTCACCTCTAAATCAGACTTGGCTATCCACGCTAAGACTGGCCACTGAGATTAATGAGCTGTATTTATCCACCCAGAATAATATAATTGAGACGGGCAGCTATATAAATCTATCAACTAAAAAAAATAAAAAAATTTGCTGAGTGTCTCTACCCATTTTGCTGGATGAAATTTTCCAATTTTGAGAGATGCCAGGAAGATCTCACCCCTTCAGAAAATCACTGCCATGGTGGACATGGCCATCCACAAAAGGGAAAACTGGTGATGCTAAAAGAAATGTTGCCAAAGAACATAAATATGCACCTTGACAAGTTTTATTTTTGAATTACAAGAATCTTTGGAAAATATGAAGTCAGATGAAGCAAGAACTTCAGCTATAGCTTTATCACACCTGTGCTACTCAGTGCCTTTGGCAGAAGTGCACTTTCCATAAGCTGGAAAAAAAGAGACTTCAACCCAAACTGTTTCAAATGATCACCAACAGTTGTATACCTTCAAAAATTGTTTCATGGGTGTAGTTGTTTTTATCCTTTCCGGTGTAAATACAATGTCTTAAACTACTGGTCCATTTTTTCTCACATAGTCACCGAACATGCCAATCATGCTAAGGATAACTTACTTGAAGTTCATCTAGAGAAATATGATGGGTAAGTCCTCTTTTTCTCACATTTTCTTCTTTGGCTTAGAAGAAACGTACAGACGGTCTATTTTCTGTTTGTAACCAATGGGATGAACCAGGAGCTTCAGGGCAGGGGGAGGGAGTGTCAAAAAAGTGAGGATGGTGGCTACAACCACATGATTGCCTTTTTTAACATTCAGGGCTTTGATTATGCAGTTACGACCGCCATCTTGATTTCTTTGACCCCCCCCCTCCCCCCCCACCCCCCCCC